TCGGAGTCCAAATTACCAAACCCTTAATAAAAAAATAATTGCCAGAAATGTATTATAAAACTGAAACTTGTGCATTAAGTTTCGCAAATGAAAGAAAAACATTATTATCCTAAAATCAAAATCTGTGAGGCTGGATGCTGTCAGTTCAATCAAATAACTTCTTTTTTTCTATAACGAATATAGAGTATCTACGCTGAGTATTAAACATATAATACTTGTACATATTTTTATACATGCAGTTCATAGTGAAAGTATAAAAATATATTATATACATATATTATACGTTCAGAAAAATGAGTTCTCTGAAAGTATTAAGAAATTTCGAAAACTTATATGTGGCTATATAAAAATACTGATAATTCTTACTAAATGAATTAAAGAAAAAAACGAATCTCGAAAATCATGCAATGAACACTTCTTAGAGGTCCAAATATACGTGCACTAGATGATGCGTATCATCTAGGGTATGCATCGACCAACGTGTTAAAAACTCTGAGAAGATCACGGTGTCAAAAACACGAATGCCATGATGTTTTCACTTATAGACATTTCTTGTTTGTTTCCAATGTTTTATTATTCCATGTTAAGAGTAAAATTCATGTAAAATAATCACTATTTAGAAGTCATAAATCGCGTCCTAAAACCAATCATATAAATCAATCAACAATTACATTTTCCCCAGCAAAATAGATTTTACAAATAAGTGGTTTAGGTTTAGTGCCACCGATATATAAACAACTTCCTTTTCTTATACACTTTGATTTAAGTTTCATATTGAAATATCTCTGGAAGTATCTCTGAGATAAAGTTCTTTGAAGTAGTTGATAAATGCAAAAACATATGAAAGCAAACTTAAATGTATTGAATGTAATCTTACGCCTGAACATAAATGATTTTGTTTTTAGTGACATATGATCAAGAATATTGTGATGACTAGTGGAATTTATTTTTTATACTTTATTACATCTATTTAAAACAATGCGAAATAAAAGAAATTTTAATGCATATTTTAACGCAATTGCAGTAGTGTCCTCTTTCGTTGCTATTATTCTTCTATGACCTTTTCCTAATATTTCATGCTCCTTTTCCTGGCAGAGAATGGACATACTTCTTATGTTTGAATAAAATAAAAAAAAGTCAACTATTTTTATTGCAGTTATTTCACTAGTGGATCATTATAAATAATTTAGTTTCTTACACTGTCAGACTTATAAAATGCAGCCTCATGAAAGATTATGTAGAATGTGATGTAATTGATACACATACAGAGCATAAATATGTAAGTAAGTGATGCTATTTAAAGAAAGAAAAATTTACACAATGCTGAATTATACAGGGAATCAGTAAGATGTATGACCAGTTCTCATGACGATGCAAGATGCAACCCTACGAGATACAGATTCAATTAGTGTGCGGATAGTGTCCATAAGCTCTAAACCCTCCTCAGAGTTTCTCTTCCAATAATGGCTGGGGCACAGTAGATAAATGATGACCTATCACATCGTAGATATGCTCAATTAGCAAATGTTCGGGGTTATTGCAGGCCAAGGAAGCAATGGGACATGATGCAAAGATTGTAGACTAACGAATGCCATATGTCGCTTTTTCCTACTGGAAAATACTATTTGCAGCCCCTGAAGAAAACGTAGAACTTCATCAGCGTATCATCGTACTCTCAAGATACTGTAGCGTAGCAAGGGTGACCTGTTATCATGACTGATGGCACTCCAAACTATTGTGCCACGTTGAGGAGCGGTGTGGCGTTCAGAAATAGTAGTCGGATTGTCTGTATCTCCCCAATGCAACCAGACACTTAACTGGTGACTATCATCAGAAAAATAAAACTGAGAATCATCGCGGAATACGACAGTGTGCCATTCAAATATCTAAGTGGCTCGTTGACGACATCATCGCAATCTGTCGCGTCGAAGGTTTGGCGTTAATGGTAGTCTTCGCAAAGGGCGACTTGTGTGCAAGCCGCTTTCAGCAAAACGTTGGGAAACTGTTCTCTCAAATACTAGAGCATCCAAAGCTCCCTGTACATTTCCCAAAATGTCTACAGTAGTTGAATATGGGTCACTAACAGCTTCTCTTCATATGTGTCGATTTGTGCTTTCTGCAGTACATCTAGATGAACCTGGTCTTTTTTTACTACACTGGTTATCAAAAATTAAGGAAAAATCACAAAATTTACGATTACTGAAAACATTACATGTAGAATTTTATGAAAATTACCCACAATATACAACACATAGTAAGGTATCAAATAACATAAAAATAAATTACCAAACAATTATGATAGTATAGAAATTAGCACATGTATAAAATGAACAAATCGAAGGTGTCAGTTTGCTATAGGAAAAGCACCTGCAATATGGAATGTGGTCGCCTCTAGAAGCAATACAGCACATACAGCGATGCGTGCTCTAAAGCATCCCAAACGTGCTCGATAGGATTCAAGTCCCGGGATCGAGCTGGCCACTCCATGCGCATAATTGTTTCCTGTTGAAGATAATCATCTACGATGCGAGCCCTGTGTGATCTTGCGTTATCGTCCTGTAATAGGAAAGCATCACATATTGCCCCGGCACATAAGCATCAAGGATGACATCTCTATAAGGCGAAGCATTCACGATTTCCGTTGGAAAGACATGGAGATCTGTGCGTCCACCCAAAGAGATGCCACCCCAAACACAGACACTGCCTCTTCCGTATGCATTTCTTTCACGAATGTTTGTCGGATGATAACGAGTTCTAGGTTCTCTCCATATCACGTCTACTATCGTTTCTAGACTAAACCTGGACTCACCCGTAAAGAGAACAGCCCTCCACTGATCAGGCGTCTAGTGGACATGCAAACGGTCTTTCCTATGGCGTGACGTGAGCGGTACGCAAATGGATGGTCGTCTCGCATACAGACCACCTTCGTGAAGCCTTCTACGCAGTGTTGACTTTGACACCAACCTTCCGGTGGCTGCAGCAAGGAAGAATCTAAGAAGAGTCGGAGTAGCGGTTCTATACCTGTATGCACATAATGTCAAATATCGGTCATCAGCGCTTGTCGTAGCAGTTGTCCGTCCTTGGCTTAACCTTCTAGATGCCGAATCTGTGGTTTGAAATCGCCTCCAAAGTCTACACAGAAGTATGAACAGAAGTTTGAACCACAGAAGGACTCACATTTAGCCATCTGGCCACTTCTGTTTGGCTTTATCCTGCCTCTAGTCTCCCAACGGCTTTCCATCGTAGTTCTGCAGGCAAATGATGCCTGGAGGTCATTGTTACGTATTGGCTATCTCAGATTTTTGATGTCACTATCACAGTGAAATATGTGGGCTTGCTCTCAAACATGGACTTTTATTCTCCTCGCAGATGACGTATTCCGATTGCAGCGCCACTAATTTGCATATTGCAGTTTTACTCAGCTACTCTTACTTGGCAACATATTCAAATTTTACACGGTTTGGCTTTGAGGGAGTTATCGCTATTTTTGTGATTTTCCCTTAATTTACGATAACCAGTGTATTTACAATTCTTTCATTGATCCATCTAGGCAAAATTCTATGTACAGTGGTATATCTATGTGTGTTTCAGCAACGATACGATGGTAAGATAAACCAGCCTTACATAAGCCTACAGTGTGACCCATTGAAAAATCTTTCGTTTGCCCGAATTGCCTACGGTGTCGTTGTCCAGGCATCTTTTCAATCACACGTGTATTTTGGAACGTGAAACTTCTCGAAGTCCTGGAATCTCTAAGCAGCAGAGGTAGTGACTGTTGGTTCGTACTCCATTTACAGCAGGTTTCTCATTTTAAAATCGATTTCAGCTTTGGTTGTTTGTGTAAAGGTTGCGTTTTGCCTCAAGTAAGAAAGAGAAACACCTAACCAGCACGTATCGGAATTCGACCGTTGCAGGTTCGTGACCTAATTGTACTGCGGTTTAGTTTTCCGCTACATCATTACTCTTACCCATAGCTGTGGCCTATATTCGCGACCTATGTAACGCTATTTCTAAACAAGATAGCAGACGAACGCATGTTGCTCTTGCTGTTCTGACCTCAGTACAGCGCGTATTCGCCTGTTGTCTTGGACAGTATATCCTTCAGATCTGATTCCATTGAGAACATCTGGTCATCGGTTGTGGAGAGAATGGCACACCATTATTTGCCAGCAACTACGTTGACGAATGTTAAAACAAAATTGAAATCGAATGGAAGGAAATATCTGTCATCGAAGCTCAGTTCGACTCGATGCTCGACCGTTTAATTGACCGATTATAGCAGTTGTTGTGTCTGAGGTGGCTGCTCACTGCATTGGATTTTCCACGCTTTATAACCTAAACCACCTGTAAATTCAATAATGTCCTCTGCCTATTATGCAATTATTTTATTTCTCTCAAATGGATAATAACTAAGTTTCTGACATTTGCTTTCCTTCCTGGTGTGGAACTTTTAATGGTTAAGAGTGTATTTTCTAAACTATATCTACGGGCATGGGTGGTGTAGTGGTAAATGATGGTAGCATGAAACAAGGATATGGATTCGAATTCAGTGTAAGACTCGATTATATGCGCGCTTTACGTCTCAACTTCGGGGGTATAAATGAGTCTCCCTTTCGGTGTACCTTGGGAAATGTTATCCATAATTAGACGGCTAAATGAGTGATGTATTCGCCCATAAATCTTACGAATGCTTAACATATTAGTGTCGGCCGTTAGACAGGGAAAAAGCAGCAACGCTATCACATCATTAAAATTATAGACGTTAAAAGTTTATGCTATTTGATTCATTTAAACTGGAATCATGGATGCACGACTAATCGATCAAGAAATAATTAATCGGGTGAATTGTTTAAACACCCTGTACGTATTTGCTATTCTCTCAATCAAGCGTAAGCATTACGACCTGGAGAATTTTCTAATACGCAAGAAATAAATGCATAGATAGTAAGTTTTTACAAAATTCAAGGAAAATACCATGCTCTTTGCTCTTCCAATCTTACCTGCTGGCAGAATTTTGAAAACGCAAGGTAGTTTTTGTACGCCTTCACTGTTTCGAGCAAGGCAAGTTACTTTTCCAAATAGTACTGGAGAAACGACAAGGACTCCATTGCTTTCATGATTATTCCAGCTTTGAAGAACTAGAGTTTCTAATGGTTTTATCAGAGACCACTGAAAGGAAAGATCTCGAGGAAAGGCATCAACTTCGCAGGTTAAGTTAACTTCTTCTGTTCTTCCAATGAAGTACACTTGGGTTTCTTTAAATTTACAAACTGGTGAAACTGAAAGATAAAAGATTGAGAAAACAAAAATAAATACAGCTAAACATATAAAAATATTACATAATACAATCAGTATTTAATGTGGACAAATAATAACAAAGATTAAAATTAAATTAAAAAAAAATTCTGTCAAACTTTATTATCAAGGGCTTAATAAGTTCCTGTAATTTCAGCAACAGCTTATCTCATATAAGTTCAGCTGTTAATTCTAAACAGTAAAGCGGTACTACGTTTTATTATAAGGTAATTCCTAAACCACAGGATAAAAAAAAAACATAAAGTAAAATAAAAAAGTGATTCAAATGCAGAATATTCGGTTTGGTTTGATAAAATAAAAAAGATGATAAAGTGCTGTAAATTTTCCAGAGAACGATGAAGAATAGTTACTCAGATGTTCTCTTGAACTTGTAGGGTTTATATTTATTTTAACTAACATTTATTTTAAGTTTAAACTATCTTTCCTGTCAAGCCTTACTTTCCCCTGGAACTGCCAATGCCAGAGTATGTAAATTTTAGTAGAACGCGCAAGGATTCAAATTATCAGCGGAAGTATTCTGATTTAAATAGAAAGGAAACGAGTTCGAGGTGTGATATTCTTACTTCACGAGCGCGGAGGTAGTTGGCCAGAAATTGAAGAACCCCGCGTTTCGGCCTGTGTGCTTTCCTGGAAGTAGTGTTAATCGTTCAAAGTGATCTTCAAGTTTGCTGAATTAGCAGCGGTATTGTAAAACGCGGTGAGGTTAGTTACTTTTAGAGAGCCTCGTAGTTAGAGTCTTGTCTTTAGTTTCTTTTCAGGTTATTATTTTTATTTGACCGCCGAGTTGGCGCAGTTTGTGAGCGTCAAGAGCACGCACTTGTAATTTATTACGTTGAATGAAAAGGGACTTAAACCCTTAACAAGACTCTGTCTTTTATCCAGTTTTCACAGTCACCTCTTGGTTGCGTGCAAGTTGGAGGCGCGCAACGCTACATACTTTCCGGATGATACATAAGAACAGCAGCTTCGCAACATCAGGCAATAAAAATGATTATCTGGCATTGATTATTTTCCCGTTGGATAGCAAGCGTACTTGATTCCTACTCGTATTCATTCAGTTACCCTCAGAGCTTTATTTGTAAAGTTATAAGTGTTGAAATCCTATGGAAGGCCGTCGGAAAAATTAGCAAATACAAAGAAAAGAAAGAATACTAAATAATTAAATAACATATGCCAATCTAAATTTATATATTTAAAAATTGGTGTAAATCTACGATAATTAAAGAAAACGTTATAAAAAAATCAAATGAAATCATAAAACAAATTAAAGTTAAGTAAATCAGTGATATAAGACAGTACAGAGAATAAAATAAAGGTTAATTTTGCTTCATCTCCTCCTGTTCTGACCGGATGTCGCTCAGGTTCACGAACTCATCATAGTCAAGGGGCAGTTTGCGTTTGATACTGGTCATAGTATAGAGCACGTTATAGGTGACGGTTCGACGTTTGCGTAGCTCTGTCCCAGTTTTGAGGCCAAAACCTGAGAAACCTACCTACTGTCCTAATTTCCAATATCTCGGCACTACTTAGGCTTAACAGTATTTTAAGACTCCCATGCCGGCAAAGACATTATAACTTATTAATATCCATTTCCTCTCCGGAATGCGAATCCGAGTCAACAGTTCCGGCAGTCGCTCTACTACCACTATGCGAGAACGGCGGCAAAAATAAAGGTAAATATTTTAAACCGTACTTTTTGTGTTTTAAACTTCGTTTATTTTCTGCCTTCTAACAATACTTAGAGATCTACAATTTTGGTAACACTTAGAGAATTCCTGGACGTATTGTTGGTTTGATTTATTTATTTATAGTAAAGCATTCAAGTAGTTATTTGCCTTAGGGAAAGAAGGAATCCTTTTGGGACTTTCTAAGAGAAACTGGCTCGTATACAATTTACACATGAGGTAAACCACGAAAACGCCCGTGCAGCCAGCCCACTCACCGTTGGTGGTTGACAATATGAATGACGTCCCTAAACCTACCTCTTCCTACAAAAATCACCTTTCGTCTGGCGCATAATAAATTTCAAGGTTTTGTGCTAATAAAAGTAAACCAAACAAACAATCCTAAAGAAAATCACATCTCGATACGTAGGCCTTTTTGCTCAATTTTTCCTGCATACTTTATTTTCCTTTATTGAGGCATTACAATCAAATTCAGTTTGAATTAATCGCAGAATTATATTTTCAACTTAATTATACTCCAATGTGCCGAAGTTCGACTCATTCAGGATTTCGATCCACATTTGTTATGTATTAATTGTTATTATTTTCAAGCTTTAAGTTTTTGCTTATTTAATTCTGTTTGGCTTAGTAATTGAAGTTATTAATTTTTGCTTTAGTTTGTTAAAGTTGGTTGTAAGTTTAAACTGTAACTTTTGTAAGCTTTAAATTTAGGTTTGGTTGCTTTAGAAGTTTTCTTAAGTTGGTGTTATTTACTAATTTTAATTTTAGTTTAATGACTTAAGTTTTACTTGGTTTTTGTTGTGGCTTGTTTCTGACCTTTAAGGTTGTTTAACTTTATTTATTTTAAAGTTTTTTTTTTGGCTGCACTTTTGGTGTGCTAATTTAATTTTTTTTAACTTAAGGTAACTTAATTTTACCCCTCTTTCTATTAAAATTTATCGAATTCATATTTTCTGACTGGTGGTAAGGTCAATAAATTGTAAATGAAACTCAATCTGTTTAATGAGTGTATATAATTAATTTCGGCTGAAGAAACAATTTATATTGTGTTGACATTTTAATGAACTTAATTTTTAAATAATAGTTCAATTTTTAATGTACTAAATTTGTTTATGGTGTTTAAAATTATTCACTGGGGCTGAATTTTTTTTTTCCTTCCAAAACTGTCGGCTTGGAATTCGTTCTCAGAATCCCTTATATGGGGATTGCTGCACCCCGAAATTTTTTTGCCAAGTGTTTCACCACATGGGCTGATGACTTGACCATCTGGACGGCTTTACTTAACCGGGACCCTGTTTGCTCTGACATCTCTAGCATAGAAATGTTTACGGGAGTGAATTTTCGTCGGATAGTGTGTTCGCCATAGTGGAGTGGCACCCCGAGACGAGGATAGTGTTTTCCCCTCTTCCATCAGCAGAGAGACGGTTGACCCAGCGGAGTGGCCTTGGAAGCTTTCTGCTGAACTGCGACTTTCGCCAATTTCTCGTAGTCGGGAAACCCATAGTTTGGGGTTGCCGTGCTTGGCGTTTTCCGATCATGATACTTCGCCAATTATTTCAAGATCTCGCCATGTACAAAAGTTGCTGCGCAGTTGGGGGAGAGATGGAGGAAAGAAATTTCATAGACACGTTCTTTGGACGGAGAGCTGGGAAGAAAAAAAAGATGACACTTCTACGATACAGCGTTAAGGGCAGCAGCTTCGGAGACGAGGATGTGACGAACGTTTAAACAAAATGCACAGAAGAAAGGCGTATTGATACAATAATTCTTGCTTTTTTCCTGACTTAAGAATGGCCTGTGGATTTGGGAAGATCGATGTCCTGCCTGTTGGAAGCGGCAGAAAGGATGGAAGCCTGGCCTCCGAAACAGCTGCTTTTGATTAATTTTTTATCTCATACTTTCTTTTCTTCTTACAGATGAATTTCCCGACACATAGTAATTATTCCCTACCTCGTGATAGTTATCCTGTCTTTGTTTTGCACCTGTATCAAGTATCCAAATTTTGTATGATGGGGCCCATCCACGAACTGTGAAATTTTATATATGATAAAGGTATATTTTTACCAATTATTTTTTACCGTTGTTTCTTCAGATATTTAGATGACCAGTCACCACCCATTTAAATTGTAACTTGTATTCTTAAATGTGTCAGCATCAATAAACGTTAGTTTGATTTTACTTACTTTTGTATTGTTTTAAATTTTAATTATTTTACACTGGACCTTAGTCTCAGAAGGCGTTTAAACTGGCTTACCCAAAGCAATAATGATAATTGAAATTACTGAATTTATTGTTCATGTTCACTCTGATAATTGCACAAATTGTTCTTGAATATGATTTACACTGTATTGATGTCATATTGCCCTAAATACTCTGAGAAATATTACTGATATGGAGAATTTCACACATTTACCAAATACAATATTGGCTTACACGTTCTCAATGTAGGAATTTTCAATTACACAGTTATGATCTAGTAGTACCTATTGTATATGACTTATGTTATAGTGTTCTATACTTAATATAGAACACTTTGGACGAATTTTTTAATGAGAAGTACTGCAAAGTTTTGTATAAAGAATGAGAAACACCAAAATCAGAGTCTATGTTTAAATTTAATCCCTGGTTGTACCTGGCGTATTATTTTTTAATTAATTTTCCTCACAAGCATTGAGCATTCCTGGAAAAATTTTTATTAGCTTGATGCCTTTGTCCGATAAAACATTTGAGGCCACATGCTGCACACAGACTGAGAATGTTTTAGTCGAAACATAATTTTTAGGCATCCCACCATCAAACGCACATATCATCTAATATAAGGCGAACCAGGTATAAAAGTTCTTCTGCATCACATGTTTGTTCATCGTTTATGATGACGTGAAGTTTCTTTCCCGTAACATTTAGTAAAATCAAGACTATGCTTAAAAATATACAGTCTGTTCTGTATTGCAGTAAAGAAAACTTTCCACGCTGTTCTTGTCTGGTTTGATCAAATCATTTAAACACGCTTATGATTTTAATAATACGAGAGAAATAGGTAGTATTTTATTATACATTCTATTTCAAAAAGATATCGTGGATGCTGTTTCAGAAAGACATCTTGAATGATTCGTCAGATACAGTTTAAGAAAATAAAATAAAATAAGATATAGCATTTCAGACTATAAACTTTCTAATCATATGACTTCTGTATAATTAGTAAAATTATACAAAATTATAATTCCCTTATACAGAAAAAATTACTATTAATAGACCTCTACTGAATGCTGTTATAAATT